TGTGAGTGTTTATTTGTGTTGTTGATTCTATTTTCCTTTTCTTTGTAATGTTAGCGTCGTTGGTGCGGGGAGTTCTGTTACACTTCTGCCACGGGGGAGGTAGCGCGGGGTAGTTGCGAGTTTGCTCCGGAGAGCCTGGTCGCGATTGCTGGGCCATCATCGAGCTAGTTAATTCGGAATGAATAACTAGTCGTGAGGCTGTGAGTCTTGTATTCGGGTTGGGGTTAGGTGCGTGGGATTTTCTTCCCCTAATGGGTAGGGGACACTTGGCTGTGTTCTCTTTCGACGGTTGGGCGACACGTGTTGTTTTCGGACTACGCGGGGCACTAGAGACACGTCTGCACGCTTCGGCACTCCACAGCGAACTGAGGTCGCCGGATATGGCCACGGTCACGGGATGAACGTTTTTACCTAACAGGGAAGTGCCAATATCGTGGGACACACGTTGTCAGCTCTACGCGGGTCTGCCTAGCAACAGCGGCTGGTATTTTGTTGGTATCCCCGGCCAATATGCAACGAATAAACGCAATCTTTAGGAGAGGAAAGATTCCATCTGTCATTTATTCTTGCGATCACCTTGGAGACTTTTCACACCGTCTTTACGTACAGTATTATACCGAGCGTCACAGTAAACGTTACATTGTGCTTCAAAATATATTCTACGTTTAACAAAGTGTTACTCCGTTGACCGTGGATTCATTATTGAACTTTAGAACATTGTCTTTAACATCTCAAGTGTCTAAACACCACGGTTATTTGTCAAATTCTGTAAAAATCATATTTATACCAGTAAATATAATCTCTGTTGTACAAAAACGATGGCTAGTCCGAATGAGGATTCGTTGCACGCCCCTAAACCTAACGATAACCCGACATATACATGTCGGGTTTATATTAGAGTTAGGGTTAGGGGCGCACGTTTTTTCTACCCGATTCCGAAGGAGCTAAAAGAAACTACGCGATTGCACCGCTCTTTAAGTTCCACGAACCGCGAACATAAGACAAAATAGTATTGCAATGACTGTAGCAGGGTCGAACAAGGAGAACGCGAACAGGAACGGTTGTAGCGGCTTTTTTAACCGTTTCCACTTCCTCGTGCAAATTCTAGTGAAATTGTCGTGCACTCGAGGCTCTTCTCTTTGAGATGGGCGATCCTATTCGGGTAGTACTCGAAAACCATTCGAGTGCCCATCTGTTCGGGATGCTATACCTCGTTGATGCATACCCCCTACATTCCTTTGCAACCTGGTAAATATCCGGGTAAAATTACTCACTCCAAGTATCGTGTTAATAGAGAATGTAAGACTTTAATCAGATTTCAGACGAATTTTATTCCATGTACTTCTGATGCCAAATGAAAATTCGTAAGTATTTGCTACATTCGTGCATGTCGTTCTTTATGATAGTTGATTTTGTTCGATTAGAGAGTCGATATTAAAAATTAATCCGACTTCCGGTTTGGACGCGGGCGAAGGTAACACGTGGGTAGTAAACGCTGTGGAAAAGGTGAGAAGTGAAGGAGAAAAGGAGGAGGAAGACAAAGGGGAAAGAAGAAGGGAAAGAAAAGGGTGTAAGCACGAAGAGAGGGAAGAAAAAGTTTAAGAAAAAAGTGACAAAAAGACAGGAGAAAGTGTGAAACATAAAGCTAGGAAAGGAGAGGTTAGGTGGATGAAAGTACAAAACTAATTGGTCAAGAAGAAGATAGATGGTGACAAGAAGCAGACCGTTGATGACGGACAAGGCGAGAGAGAAGGAAGATCGCAGAAACACGCTGGAAAGGTACAGCGTGACAGAGAAGGAGGCAGTAAAGAGAGAGGGAAGCAAAGAAGCATGGGACGGGAGGATGGAGAAAATAGAGAGGGGGTTGGAGGTGATGGTAGAGCTAGTAGAGGAGTTGAGGAGGGACAGGAAAGAGGAGAGAGAAAGATGGGAAAAGGAACGAGAAGAGGAGAGGGAAAGGTAGAAGAAGGAGAGGGTGGAGGAGAGGAAAAGATGGGAAAAGGAGAGAGACGAAGAAAGAGAGAGATGGAGGAAGGAGAGAGAGACAGACAGAGAAAGATGGGACAGTGAGTGCGAAAGATGGAAAAGGGAGAAGAAAGAGATGGAGAACAGAATCAGGAGGTTTGAGGAGGAGCAAGGCAGAATAGAACGCAAGAGAAGGAAGAGGAACATCTTAATAAAGGGCGCGGAGTGGGGGAGGAAAGCGATAACGGGACAGTGATAGAGTTCATAAAGGAAAATAAGAAATTAGAGGTAGAGGTAGAAAGGACACAGAAGGTAAGGGTGGGAGAAAAGAACACGATAATAATCGCAACGTTGAAATCGTGGGAGGAGAAGATGAGGGTAATAAGAGAGAAAGGTAAATTGGGGAAGGGGATATACATAGACAACGACCTAACAAAGAAAGAAAGAGAAATACAACGAAGGTTCAGAAGAATAGCTAGAGCGAAAAGGGAGAAGGGAGAATACGTAAAAATAGGTTACAAGAAGCTGAAAATAGAATACAGGTGGTACAGGTGGAACGAAAGCGAGGAGAAGCTAGAGGAAGAAAGAAGGAGAGAGGCGAGAGGGTGAGATAAGGAGAAAGAAAGGGGTGGGGACATAAAGGGGTTGAGAATGTGCTTCTGGAACATAGCAGGGATAATGATCAAGGACAAAGAGGTATGGGAATATTTAAGAACGTTTGACGTAATCGGCCTCACGGAAACATGGACAGAGGAAAGCAAATGGGGAAGGGTAAAGTATAGACTGCCCAAGGAATACGACTGGAAATGCAGGGCAGCAAGGAGAGAATGGAGAAAGGGAAGGGCAAGAGGAGGTATAATAACAGGCGTAAACAAAAATCTGAGGGAAATAGAGTATAAGGAAATAGGAGACGACATAGTAGAAAGAAAAATAAGGTACAAGGAGAAGACATATAGAATAGTGGTGGTGTATAACCAGGACACGAAAAGGACATGGAAAGAAATGGAGGAAGGAGTAGAGGGAAGGAGAGAGGAAGTGACAATCATAGGAGGAGATTGGAATGCAAGAACGGGAGAAGAGGGAGGGCTGATAAACGAGGAACTAGGACAAGAAAAGAGCAGGAGATCAAAAGACAAGACAATAAATATGGAAGGAAGAATGCTGCTAAGGTTGCTGGATGAAAGAGGCTGGACGATAATTAACGGTCGAGACAAAGAAGGAGACGAGTGAACCTATGTGGGAGAGAGGGGAAAGTCAGTAATAGACTACGTGATTGGTAACCAGGAAGCGATAGAGGAAATAACAGACATGAAGATAGGAAAAAGAGTGGAGTCAGAGCACATGCCGCTGGAAATAGAAATAGAGGGATCAGAGATACAAAGAGACGAGGAAAGAAAAGAGGAAGAGAAGGAGAGAAGGGAATGGACAAAAGAAAGTGCGGGAAGATATTTAGAGGAGTGCAAAGACTGGGCAAGCAGGGGAAGAACAGTAGAGGAAATGTGGGCAGAAATTAAGAAGAAGATAAACGTGGCAATACCAAAGAAAAGAGTAAGGATAAGGAAATGGAGCATAGGAGAAAAGGCATGGTACGACAAGGAGTGGAAAGAAAGGAAAAGGGAGATAAGAAGGAAAATGACAAAATTTAGGAAAGGAAAATGCAGCAGAGAAGAATTCATAGAGGGGAAGAAGGCATTCAAACAGTGGTGTAAACAAAGAAAGGAGAAGCAGGAAGAGGAAGAGATGGAGAAAATCAACAAGATCAAAACAGAGCAAGAAGCATGGAAATACATAAACAAATATAGGAGAAGCAGAGAGGTTGTAGACGAGGCGATAAGGGAAGAGGAGTGGAAAAATCATTTTATGGAAACGTTAGAGGGGACAGAAAACAAAGAGGATGAAGGAACAGAAGGGTGGAGAGAGGAGGAGGAATCAAAAGAAGAGAGAGAAGACAACATAGAGAAGGAAGAGGTAATACTACAAATAAGAAAATTGAAAGAGAAAAAAGCAACGAGGGAAGATGGCTTGGGAAACGAGGTATGGAAGTATGCGCCGAAGGAAGTGGGGGAGGCGTTATGGGAGATGTTAGGAAAAATTTGGAATGGAAAGGGGATACCCGAAGACTGGAGAAAAGGCGTGATATGTCCGATTTACAAGAGGAGGAACAAAGGGGCAGTGAAGAGCTACAGAGGGGTCACGCTAATGGACACGGCATATAAGATCTATGCAGGAATTCTAGACGAGCAGCTGAAGGTGGAAATCAAGGACAAGCTGGTAGAGAGCCAATTCGGATTTAGGAAAGGAAGAGGAGTGATAGACGCAGTGTACGTACTGAACCATATAATAGATAAACAATTGAGCGAAGAAAGAGGGAAGCTATCGGGAAAGAGGGAAGCTATATGCATGCTTCGCGGATCTAAAGTCAGCGTTCGGTAGGGTTAACAGGAAGAAACTGGGAGAGATAATGAGGAGAATGGGGGTGAACGAGAAGTTAACCAGAAGGATAGAGGAGATATACGAGGAGACAAAGAGTGTAGTGAGGATCAGGAACAACAACACAGAAGAGTTTTGGACAGTGAGGGGAGTGAGACAAGGGTGCCCGCTGTGCCCGACATTATTTAACATCGATGTGGCAGGGCTGGAAGAAATAAGGAAATGAGGAAAGGGCAAGTAGGAGGCATAGTGGTACGAGACAGGAAGGTATGATCATTATCATACGCAGATGACATTGTATTGATAGCGGACAGAGAAGAGGAGTTAAAGGAAATGATGAAGAGATTTAAGACATTCCTAGAGGAAGTGAAACTGGAACTGAGCACCGAAAAGACAAAAGTAATAGTGTTTGAAAAGAGGAGGAACAAGAGGAGGCAAAGGAAATGGAGATGGGGGAACAAGAACTAGAAGAAGTGGATGAGATTAGGTATTTAGGGTACATACTGCAAAAAAACGGGAGCGACGAGAAGCATATCCAAGACAGAAAAAGGAGGGCAGCAATTGCGATGAAGAAGACATGGAGCGTAGGAGAAAGGACATTTAAAAGGGACTACAAGAGGAGAATGAGGATGTTTGGAGCACTGGTAGAGAGTGTAGCGCTGTATGGAACGGAGGCGTGGGGATGGAATATAGAGGAGAGACTGGACAGGGTAAAAAGGAGATACGTGAGATGGTTGCTAGGCTTAGACACAACAACGCCAAATTACAACCTGAGAGAGGAATGCAAGATAGAGGAAATTAGAGAAAAGGCACTGAAAAGAGCAATAAGGTACGAGGAGAAGGCCTTGGAATCGAAGAAGGAATTAGTGAAAGAATGTATAAAGGAGAGGGAAAGGAATTGGGGAAAGGGCCAAGAAGGGAAAAGAGCAAGGAAAAGAAAGATGAGGTTAGAGGAGGCGAGAGAGGGAAGGACTCAAGGAGAGGCAGGAGATAGACAAGAAAGAATGACAGCGAACCAGATCATAGAAGAAAGAAGGAAAAGAGAAACAGAGGAAAGGGAGAAAAGAATAAGGGAATCTAAATACAATAGACAGTACAGAAACATAGCGAAAGGAGGGCTACCAAAAATATCTAGAAGGAAAGATGAAATGGAAGGACAGAAGTATAGTAGCAAGATTTAGATGTAGTAACGAAACCAGGGCAAGGGAACACTGGAAAGAGGAGGGAAAAAGAGCATGCAGATTATGCAAAAAAGGAGAGGAGGACTTGAAACACATATTAGAGGAATGCGAGATAACAAGAGGAGCAAGGAACATGGTAGAAACACTAAATGAGACTGGAGAAGGACTGGCAGAACTGAAAGCGATAATACAGGACAGAAGAGTAGCAGAAGAGGGGAGGAACGACAGGGAGGGAGCACAGCAAGGAAGCAAAAGCCAAAGAAGGATAAGCGTTAAATATAAGTATATAAGAGATGTAATCTGGAGATCGTCCAAAGCCGAAAGGCACGGACCAAGATTAATAAAAAAAAATAAAAAAATAAAAAATTAATCCCAATTTGATATTTCTAATCTTTCTTTTTACAGCCAAATTGCTCGAGATTCGCCGAATTTGAAGCGACAACGCACAATGAACCACATATATTAACCATGATGTGTTATAGAATAAATTTATAAAATCTACTATTCTGTAAATAAAGCTAGCCTACTTTGTTGTTAGATAAATAATCCTATCGATGACTTACTTTATCTCACTTAAAACACTCCTGAAACAATACACGTCTAAACTTCATGGTTGCGACACATGATTCTTTACAGTCTTTAATTAAATTTGTCAAATAGTTTCGTTTTAAATAATAGAATTAACGAATATATAGTACATCTACTTCTATTTTCATTGGTAAATTAATTAATCCCATCTTTTCATCTTTTTCAAAATAATAAAGCAAAATCTCTAGATATTCATCGAGTATTCCACTAATTGCATTAACCTCTTCTGGAATTTTTAGAGACTCGGTGCGATAGTAATACAGGTAACCAGCAATTTAAAGCAGTTTGCTATACATTATGCGATTGGATTTACGATTTACGATATCCGATTTCAAAACGCTTATGCTTAATGAAACAGTGGAGCAGAAAGCAGTCATTTACAGATTCCTAACATGCACTCGCGTTTGAGATCCGATTCAAAGGGAGACCAGCAATACGCCATAAGCACTGATAACATTACAGAATGCATTATCGATTAAAGCTGTATATATCAAAAAAATCTTCAATTGTAATGAAATTCATTTTACATTTTACGAATGGAATAATTTAACGTAGATTTTAACACGTTCGTCGCCTAGAGTGATTCGGCTATGTTTCCTGCGGGGCCCAAATCCGACCGCCGGCACGCAGAACGTAAATAGAGCGATAAACGGAAATTCATTGTATATCTTTTTCGATTCACTGTTTATCGCCTTCGATTCACTGTTTATTGTCTTCGATTCATTGTAAAGAATATATTTAGTTCTGAAATGGAGAAAGCGATAAACTTTCCAGCTAGAGTATTCCGAGGGATCTCATGGCAGATATCTCAAATCTTTGGTTTAATCCAGAAGCATAATTGTGAGGCGTACATAAGTGATTTTTTCATCCTCAAAATGTTCAGTAAACAGCGTGAAAATATATTTGAAAGTGAGGAGAGTAGTGATGACGAAGTAGTGAATTTTAGAAAAAAAATTATAAATAGAATTTCATCGAGTTCGAATATTGAGGAAGCATGTGCAAGCAAAGACCTCAAAGACTTGTTGGAAGAACTTGCTATAAACGAAGTAGAGAAATTCGACTCTATTGATAATTCGTTGATATTTGAATGGAATGAATTCGCTAACAGGCAACAGACATTTCCGTTCACCGGATAAAGTGGATTTCTGATGGATTTGCCGTCTGACATTAGCGCAAGTAAAGTGTCTTCGTTATTCGTTAATGAAAAAGTGATAAGCCTTTTAGTCACAGAGACTAATAGATATGCAGAGCAAAAATTACACGAACATGAAGTGGCACTGCGCTACCGTCGTCCGGTAGAAGTTAGTGTCGAGTGGCGCCACACGTTTAAGTCCTCCTTTATCGCGGTTCGAATGCCTAGCAAAACAATCGGCAGGATTTCGACCCAGTTGCTCGTGTCGTGGCACTTGATCGTCGCTTTAAGGTATCTATGCAAGCGCTCTACGATCCCATTAGACAAGGAATGATAGGCCGATGTGCGCAAGTGCGTGACGCCGAGCAACCGGCATAACTCTTTAAACAGACACGATTCGAATTAGCGTCCGTGGCCGGCCGTTATTTTTAAAGGGACGCCCAAACAATGGGAAACGGGATTGCATTCCCAAGCAATGGGAACGGCTTCGGGCTAACGCGAAAAACGATCGATACGACAATATCGATAGCCCTGCGAGTATTGCATCACGATAATGTGTAAGTGTATGTGTCCGAACCGGTTTGCTAACGTTTTGAACGCTCCAACTAGTGAGGATACGTGCATTTCTTTTTTTTATACGAGAAGGGGAAAATGCATTACGCATACCAGACGACCCACGCCGCCGGGTTATGTGGGACTCGGCTGATGGTAGTGCCACACCCACTAAAAAACCCCTCCTCTTCCAATCCTTCGAGCGGAGGGTCTCGACGGCACTGTTAATACCACATTACTTCGACGAGACCCCATTCGACGCGTCAACTCCTTATCAAACAAATGCCTCCGTTTCTTCGGAGATAGTCATCATCCTCTTCTTCCCCTTTTCCGAATCGCCCCGCCTTTGTACCTTTTGCCTGTCTTGTGCTCATTACTATCCCGCAGAAACTGCGGAACAACGATAGCTCCTACAATCGCACCCACTCTATTACAAACCGTATCAAAATGATCACAATAATTTCTGTTAGAGTGTAACACTACGCCTAGGTATTTAACCCTTTCGCGTGTGTTAAGCACCTCTCCCGTCAATGTTATATTAAACTTCTTCGGAACTCTCATTCTCGTCAACAATATAATCTCCGTTTTCTCCTTTGCTATCTGGAGACCCGAATTTTCACATCAATTTAATATCGTCTTCATGTGGAGATTCAAATCTACCTCCACACTTTGCTTCTTCTTCAGACCCACCAAGCTAGTGTCACGTAAAATTGATACTTGGGTTGTAAGAGAAAAGAAAGCTGAGTCCCAACTATTAATTTTCTTTTATCGAACTTTATTATAATTTTGGCACTTACAATGATAGAATAACACTGAACCGTAAACAGGGTGTTGTACAAGTACAGCAACTAGAACAAGAACTGCCCAAGCTGGGTGAAGTCTCGGTTTATAAACATTTTAGTTTTAGGATGTTGAGGGGCTAGGTGTAGGCTAGGATGTGGAAAAGTGTCCGAAGGTCGGGGGTCTGTATCCTATCTCTGATGTGTGACTAATGTGCGTCACAGCCTTGGTGTAAGCTATGATGATAAGGTGGTGATGTGTCCAAAGGAGTCTGAAAGTCGGGGGTCGATGTCTTATCACTGATGTAGGTTGAGATGTGATTGATGTCACAATAGCAAGGTCGTCTGCAAATGCAATAGCTCTGAGATTGACACTGTATTTTCGACCAATCGCGGGGAGACGTAATCGCGAGGAAACACGTAATAATCGACGCCGCGAATTGGTGGATCCCCTGATTTCCATTGAGATAATGTGGGTGGTTGAGGTGGTATAACGCTGCGATTAACAGGGTTATAAACTATATATTTTCAACACTTAAGAGTTACACCATTGCGTATGATATACATCGTAGACGATGATTTGGCGTATAAAGATGCGATACACATGCACAATAGAGCAAAGCTCATACAATTGAGTTTGTTGTTTTAGTTGACGTAGCAATAGAGGAGACTAAGTATAGATATGAAGTGACTGTCCTGTAGTCCGGAGAACAAGTTTAGAGAGATGACGTGCTTAAGACTGACTTGTCGCTCTTATGTTATTACGGAAGAAATGTCGATGTGGGTGTGCCCTTTGAATGAAGAACGCGGATCCGTTGTTCACAATTTTCGTTAGGAAAATTGAGGGTAACGATCCGCGATGTTGATTGGTTATGACCCACGTTAATGCCTGAAGGTATGAGGAGGAAGCCTCCTACCATCGTGGTTCGTGGGTGATCTTGTTCATGGGAAAAATCAACCTATTTTGTTAGACAAATATTCGGTGTTTCCCAATAGGTGAATACCCGCTTTCTCCGTGGTTTTATGAGTGTCCAACAAACCCAAGGACTTTTCTAATAACCAGCCGCGAACCGAAAAAATTTCTAGGATTAAAAATCCTTCAGGACAAACAGATCGACTGAAAAACATATGTTGACACAATGAAGTTAAATTTAAAGGTTTATAATGGGTCCTTAGATTTATCGAGGGTTGGAATGACGGTACGTAGACCGTTGGCTGTCCAACAGCTAGGGATGGAGTGCAGATGTCCTACGCGACATAACACTGCTCTTGGAGATACAGTCACGATGATGGATGCGAAGACTTGTTGGTGAGATGTTTACGTTGCTTTACGCACAACATGTACGGTCATTTGTAAAATTCAGGAAAGATAATATAAACTCGGGTAACCGTAACACCACAGATACGAATCGTCTAGGTCGGTAAGAGAATTTGTATATCTGATTGAAATAAAAAGAGTTTATCGCACTTATTTGTTGCATCTATTGAGATGAGAACGTGAAACCGGCGCTCGTATAAAGTGGAATTGAATCTAATACAGATCGCGAATTCTTTTAAGAATGCCGATGCTAACTCCCTTCGATGCACACACACGCGCCAGCGCTTTTGCTTTACTCTCAGCAAAAAAAAAAAAAAAAAAAAAAAAANNNNCGCCAGCGCTTTTGCTTTACTCTCAAAAAAAAAAAAAAAAAAAAAATATTTAAAGTAGTAGTAATAGAAAATATTTAAGTAGTGTTTTACACTGACTGCAGCCTGTTCACATTGAATACTATCAGTGCCTTCACAGTCATGCAACTACGGACTACTTGATATTAAATACAGAGCCTTAAATAATGGCCAATAAAACAATACAAACTGAAGACGATGTGCCAATATTTTTATTGTTTTATTGACTACTATTTAGAGCTTGAAAGTACGTACAAAGAGAAATAGACATATTTCCGAAACCC